AAGCAAAAAAAAAAAAAAAAAAAGCAGGGGTTGTAATCCTAGTTTCTGACAAAACAGACTTAAAACCAACAAAGATAAAAAAAGACGAAGGACATGGCATAATGGCAAAGGGTTTAATTCAACAAGAAGAGTAACTATCCAACTATATATGCATTCAATACAGGAGCACCCAGATTCATAAAACACGTTCTTAAAGACCTTTAAAAAGACTTAGATTCCCACACAATAATAGTGGAAGACTTTAGCACCCCACTGTCAATATTAGACAGATCAAGATAGAAAATTAACAAAGATTTTAAGGACTTGAACTCAAGCTGCAGAACTCTCCATCCCTATACAACAAAATATATATTCTTCTAGGTGCCACATGTCACTTACTCTAAAATTGATCACATAATTGGAAGTAAAGCACTCCACAGCAAGTGCAAAACAACTGAAATCATAGCAGACTCTCAGACTACAGTGCAATTAAATTAGAACTCTACAAAACCACACAGCTACATGGAAATTGACTGACCTGCTGCTGAGTGACTCCTGGGGCAATAAAGAAATTAAGGCAGAAATCAAAAAGTTATTTGAAACTAATGAGGAAAAAAAAGCGACAACATACCAGAATTTCTGGGACACAGCTGAAGCAGTGTTAAGAGGGAAACTTATAACACTAAATACCCACATCAGAAACCTAGAAAGATCTCAAACTGACATCCTCATATCACAACTAAAAGAACTAGAGAACCAGGAGCAAACACAACCCAAAGCTAATAGAAGACGAGAAATAACTAGGATCAGAGTGGAACCAAAAGAGATAGAGACATGAAAAACCCTTCAAAAAATTAACAAGCCCTTTCTGGCAGTGATGATCTACCCATGAAAACATGCCTCTCACAAAGAATCTCCTTCATCCCTCTCCTGAAGAGGAGAAGAGGAAACATAAGAAGAAATACCTGGTGCAGAGCCTCAATTCCTACTTCATGGATGTGAAATGTCCAGGATGCTATAAAATCACCATGGCCTTTAGCCATGCACAAATTTTAGTTTTGTGTGTTGGCTGCTCCACTGTCCTTTGCCAGGCTGCAAGAGGAAAAACAAGGCTTACAGAAGGATGTTTTTTCAGGAGGAAGCAGCACTAAAAGCACTCTGAATCAAGATGAGTGAGAAGCTATCTCAATAAACACGTTTTATATTTTTTAAAAAAATAACAAATGCAGGAGCTGGTTTTTTGAAAAAAAAAAATAAATAAATAAAACAGGCCACTAGCTGGATTAATAAAAAAATAAGAGAGAATAATCAAATAGACAATAAAAAATTGTAAAGGGGATTGCACCACAGACCCCACAGAAATACAACCATCAGAGAATTCTCTAAACCCCTCTATGCAAATTAACTAGAAAGTCTAAAAGAAATAGATAAATTCCTGGACATATACACCCTTCTATGACTGAATCAGGAGGAAGTTAAATCCCTGAATAGACCAATAACTAGTTCTGAAATTGAGGCAGTAATAAATAGGCTACCAACCAAAAAAAGCCCAAGACAAGAAGGATTTACAGCTGAATACTACTTGAGGTAAAAAGAAGAGCTGGTACCATTTCTTCTAAAACTATTTCCAACAGTTGAAAAGGAGGGACTCCTCCCTAACTCATTTTATGAGGCCAGCATCACTCTGATACCAAAACCTGACAGAGATATAAAATAAAAAGATATAAAATAAAAAGAGAGAAAAAAAGAAAGAAAACATCAGGCCAATTTCCTTAATGAACATCAGTGCAAAAACCTCCAAAAAAAATACTGGCAAACAAAATCGAGCATCATATCCAAAAGCTTATCCACCAGGATCAAGCTGACTTCATCCCTTGGATGCAAGGCTGGTTCAACATACACAAATCAACAAATGTCACTTATTATATACACAGAACTAAAGACAAAGACCACATGATTAGATGCAGAAAAGGCCTTTGATAAAACTCAACATCGCTTCATGTTAAAAACTCTCAATAAACTTGTTATTAAAGGAACATACTTCAAAATAATAAGAGCCATTATGACAAACCCACCGCCAATATCATACTGAATTTCCCTTTGCAACTGATACAAGATAAGGATGCCTTTTCTCACCCCTCCTATTCAACACAGTATTGGAAATTCTGGCCGAGGAAATCAGGCTAGAGAAAGAAATAAAGGGTATTCAAATATGAAGAGAGAAAATCAATTTGTCTTTGTTAACAAACGACAGGATCTCATGCCTAGAAAACCCTATTTTCTTAACCCCAAACCTTCTTAAGCTGATAAGCAACTACAACAAAGTCTCAGGATACAAAGTCAATGTGCAAAAATCACAAGCATTCTTGTATACCAACAATAGACAAGCAGATAGCCAAATCATGAATGAACTTCCATTCACAATTGCTATAAAGACAATAAAATACTTGAGAATACAGCTAACAAAGGCTATGAAGGACCTCTTCAAGGAGAACTATAAACCACTGCTCAAGGAAATCACAGAGAACACAATCAAATTTCAAAACATTCCATGCTCATGGACAGGAAGATCCAATATTATAAAAATGGCCATATCCCTAAAGTAATTTATAGTTTCAGTGCTATTCCCATCAAATTGCTATTGACAGATTTAGAATTATAATTCTCTAACAGAATAGATATATCAGAAATAATACTGGATATCTGCAATCATCTGATCTTCCACAAACCTGACAAAAACAAGCAATGAAGAATGGACTCTCTATTTAAAAAATGGTTCTGGGATAACTGGCTAGCCATATGAAGAAAATTGAAACTGGACTCCTTCCTTACACCCTATACAAAAATTAACTCAAGATGGATTGAAGACTTAAATGTAAAACCCAAAACTATAAAAGCCCTAGGAGAAAATCTAGACAATTCCATACAGGACGTAGGCATGGGCAAAGGTTTTATGATGAAAACATGAAAAGTAATTGCAACAAAAGCCAGAATTGACAAATGGGATCTAATTAAACTAAAGAAGTTCCGCAGAGCAAAAGAAACTATCATCAGAGTGAACAGGCAACCTACAGAATGGGAGGAAATTTTTGCAAACTCTCCGTCTGACACAGGTCTGATATCCAGATTCTACAAGGAACTTAAACAAATTTTTAAGAAAAAAAACAACCAAGCACATTAAAAAGTGGGCAAAGGACATGAAAAGACACTTCTCAAAAGAAGACATTTATGCAACCGACAAACTTGAAAAAAAACCCAACACTACTGAGCATTAGAGAAATACAGATCAGAACCACAGTGAGACACCACCTCACACCAGTCAAAATGATGATTATTAAAGTCAAGAAACAACAAATGCTGGCAAGGTTATAGAGAAATAGGAAAACCTTTACATTGTTGGTGGGAATGAAAATTAGTTCAACCATTGTGGAAGACAATGTGGCAATTCCTCAAAGACCTAGAACCAGAAATACCATTTGACACAGCAATCCCATTACCAGGTATGTACCCAAAGGAATATAAATCATTGTATTTTATATGAACACATATATTTTATATTAATGAATATGTTCATTGCAGCATTATTCACAATAGCAAAGACATGGAATCAACCCAAATGTCCATCAGTGATAGACTGGATAAAGAAAATGTGGGTACATAACACCATGGAATACTATGCAGCCATAAAAAGGAATGAGATGATGTCTTTTGCAGGGACATGGAAGGGGCTGGAAGCCATTATCCTCAACAAACTAATGTAGGAACAGAAATCCAAACACCGTATGCTGTCACTCATAAGTCAGAGCTGAACAATGAGATCACATGGACACAGGAAGGAGAACAATGCACACTGGGGCCTGTCAGGGGGCATCAGGGAAGAGAGGGCCTCAGGAAAAATAGCTCATGCGTGCTTGGCTTAATACTTAGGCGATGGGTTGATAGGTGCAGCAAACCACCATGATACATATTTACCTATGTAACAAATCTGCACATCCTGCACAGGTACCTCGGAACTTACAATAAATATTTTTTTAATGCAATAAAAACACCATGTCAAGTGTAATTTACCCTGTCATATTAAAATGGTAAAAATAATAATTCTGTCTGATGATAATGCTAATTACTTTTAGGTAAAAAAGAAAAGAGGAAAGACAATAGGTTGATTCTTTGTCATTCATCATTGGTTTGCACTACTGCAAATTTATATCTAATTTTAAGAGACAACCTTCCTAATCAGTTATGATAAAATATGTTAGAAGTTCAGCTTCACAGTTAACCATGGTTAATTGAGTTTCCTTGATTTTCAATTTGAAATTTGCTTCTATAAATTATAATCAGTATAAACGGAAAGAACCTTATTGGAAGAGAAACATTTAAATTACTATCTCTCTAAAATACTGATAAAGTAATATTTTTAATATTATGCATATAGAATCACAGCTGAACTCTAGAATAAATATAGTAGGTCAAATTTTTATTTAATCAATAAAATTATCCAGCAAAGTAGTCAACTTATTAACACTTAACAACCATATAGTTAAACTTGTCTCCATATTAAGCATTCATCAGATGCCAGAGTAAAATGATCCTTTGCCCATGTTATAAATAAAGAAGCAAAA